TTGATCCATTCTAGGTATTTTTACTGCTCTACGTCAGAAGATTGTTTTTTTTTTTTTTTGATACTTTGGTGCTTGGAGTGGACATATTGTTAATTGTATAGGTAAAAAAACGTTTGTCTTGAAAAGAAAAAATATAGTTTAAATAACATAAGCTGTACCTCGAAAATATGTAATTGTATTTTGCCCGTGTAGCGGCTAGCCGACATGTAACTGGTGTATGTATATATATGATATCAGTCTGTTCAAATAGAGCATTCAATTTTAAGTTTGTGTGTACATAATATCATAAGATTTGCCTAAAACGAACGCCGCCGTCAAGATAAAAATCAAAAATTGTAGCTGTTCTCTGCCGCACGCATCGTGACCGCTTTACGGGATAACCGCCAAAAACGTGGGAAATGTCTATGATTTTTTTTTAACTATGTATGTGTGTACACTGTACATACCGATTATGTTTTTCTCTTTTTGTTTTGTTATGGGGAGCACTCGACGACCGCGCCCGGTATTAAGACGTTGTCCGGTGACGACGGGCTTTATACCTTTTATTATATTACTTTATTATACTTGTGTATTTTGTTTTGTTTCGATGACTGGAAAAATCATAATTGTTTTTTTGTTCGAAGAGCAATAACGTTTATAAACTGGCTCCCCGTCGTGTACCCCTACTGTATGCGTATATATATATTCATTAATCAACAGGTAGCGAACAGGTAAATGGCTACCGGTATTTTTATATTTGATTATTATTATTATACACACAGCGCCGAAACGGCCACAATAGGATCGAGACTTGTTCGTTGTATGTGTGTAGTTACTGGTTATGATTTGAATAGGTTCGAGAAGACCTAAGTCGCAGTCGTGACGTTTAGGTGCCGTTTTGTCGGGATAGAGGGCCGACTAAACAAAACAGAAGAGCTGTCCCGATGGTTGTACGTTGAGTTTTCGAAGCCAAAACAAAAAAAAAAGAAAACAATGGAGGAACTTCGTCCGATGATTGGGTATTGTTCATCGGTTTTCGGGAAACACTCGACTCACACTGGTCCGTCGACACGAGCCTGTCAGCTTGAACTTTCAACACTACCCGATACCCGATATTTTAATAACCGTTAAGATAAACATCTTATTCAAAACGTACAGGGTGTGATCTCCTCTATATCTGTTTGAACAGCGAAAAGTGACGGTTCATTTTTTAGATTACTCCACATTGTATTGGTATAATGCATCGCCGACGCAGTCAGATGGCCACCTCTGAATATAATAGCCCAAATCTCTACATCAAACAGTAACATCGATCACGTTAGGCTTTACTTAAAAATTATTTATATACATACAAAAATAGTACAATTTTCCAAATTGGTAATCAACATGACAACATTAATGTATACCTACGTGTTGTTCGACGCATAATATATTGTATCTCGTTGTTATATTTTATATACTCTTATATATGTATCTGACACGGCTGTAGTATTAACAGGCACACACTAAATAATATATATACATATAATATACTACAGATAGCGTTGTGCTTAGTCAACGTAACGTCGACTCGTCTCTGCAGGTGTGATCCGCAGACATCGTTACGCTACGAAAATATTATAAACGTTATGCACGGTGCGTCAGGGATTTACACTAGATTATTGTATTTATTCTACTGTGACCCATATTATTGTCTTTTTTTGTTTCAAGTATAACTATGCGGTGTGTGAATGCGCGCCGAATACATCTTAACCCGTTATTTTAAAATCTTTTGATTCTTTCAAACAATCGTCGTTGTTATTGTTATTCCATAAGCCGGTGCACTTGTTTCCGGCAAAATAGCCGGTATAGAAGGTTTGTTCTTCGCCTGGTCGCTCACTGCAATATCCCGTCCACGTTTTATTTTTTGTCACGGGATACAGTCTACAAATAAATTAAATAAATATTAAAATGATTTTTTTTTTACTTACAACACTTATTTGCGTTTTACCAAGAAAGTTGTAAATACAAGAAAGTAAAATGGAATTTCATTTAGACCCTACCCCAAACCATGCGGTACCTATTTAGGGGTTTGTTATGTTGCTTATTGTGAAGTTGATGAACATTTGTACTATTGGAATCTAATCTGTCTCTTTGAGACTTGAAGGGTATTGCCGAAAATTATTGTACTTAGAAAAATGTACTGTTGGTGGTCGCGAGAAATTATGAGTAGACCTATTCTGTGCGATGATGATATAACAATTGACTGTTGTGTGCGTATAGGGAGTGTCTTAGATGGAAACAAAATAATATATTTAACATTGATCAGTGACACAGGAAAGGCTGCGCCTCGCTATCAGCCGTATTTCGTTACGGTATATGCCGTTAATACTTAATATGTAGTTATACCAATAATAGTTATAATAACGGAGAAGAAGCGACGGCAGAGCAGAAACAGTAAAAAAGTAATTACCAGTTTCCGGCAATTACCATGTTTATATTTATTTTCTTCAATATGCTTAGGAGCGGCATATATAAAAAAAAAAAAATTGAAAAATAATATTAAAGAATATCCAAGAAAATCAAGTACTTTATTTCAATTAATTTAAGTCGAATAAGGCTCCTATAAAATAGCTGTATTAATATTAGATTCTGATACCTAATGATACACTGTAAATCTATAGCCATTAGCCACTAAGGCGAGCGAACATTTTGGGCCGCTTGTATTTTACTAGGCAAATTATTTACACAGTTTCAATGAGCAAGTAATAATACTCAATGTAAATTTAAAAAAAACCGATTACATTTTGTACCAATTTTTGTACAATTTTGTTGTTTCCTGTTATAGGGCGACCGGGCCCATATACTTAATGTTTTAAGCTGGTCGACCTGATTTACATAATCCTTAGACCCTGATTCTAAACGCTGTATATCAATAATTATTTATCAATCGTTTTAGTTGAACGTCTAGTGTCCCACAAGGTAGTCACCTGATGAGAAATGCGCCCCTGTACAGAATGATGCGTGATTTCAATAATCATCATAGTACGTAGACCATATTTGTTGATCATGTTTTATTACATTCCTGTTAATCTTAGAACCACAAATTACGTATAAAAGCCGTTTGGCGTCAATTATGTAAAATAAAAAAAAAAAACAATAAGAATAGGTGTGGTGCCGGTCAAATTTTTTTTCTACCGATAGACGCTATTCTAGACGTCCTCTAGCCGTCAGTTAGAGCTAATGTTGAAGTCGACGGATAAAATACGCAAAACTTAGGCGAACCATCTGACTAATTGTTACAAGGGTTGAAGCAATCCAGGCGCCCGCACCCCTTTTCTTCTTTGCCGGGTCCGAAATCGTCGTTGGCAGCCGTTTTGTTTGCACCAAGTTTGTTCGGAGACGATTAGTCAACGTTATTATCTCCTATTAACCCCCTCCCCTACCCTTATGCTCCCTCCTTCTATCCCCTTCAAACGATTTTCTCAGATCTGAAACCCGCATTAATCTTCCCTGCAAACGTTTTTGTTTCTGGCAAACGTAATTAATTGAACAACATCCGACAACGGACGAGGAATCCTCGAGGTACCCGAATTATATATACGTTTCTATTTGTGCGACTGCCCGGGCTTTTTTCGACAATTAGGGTTTGTTTAACTCGCAGACTGTATGTAATATTATTATTATTACATTTCCCCTCGACCGGCTCGACACAAAAATAATGACGTTTAACTAGACAATGAAAGCCAATTTTTTTGGCCAAACAACGAAAATATAAATGCAACGTAAACACGCGAAACGATGATGTACTTAACGCTTTCGTAACGTTACACCGGCGGCAAGTTTAGTACTTTTGCCTGACGTTTTATATACTATGTATATATCATATAAATGTATAGGCAGGTATTTAATACTTATAAATCTGTCGTACCGACGCTCGGCGTTCGATTTAATTGTGTTTTCACCTTTTTCACTTTTCTTCTCCTCCACCGCGACCGTCGAAGCCGTCGTTCGGTTTCCATTACATTTTTATTTGATTTATCGAAAAAGCTTTTGGGTCATACCAGCACCCCCCCCCCATCCCTCGTCCTCCTCTTCCCGGCTGTCACCTCGCCCGTAAGTTTTCTTCTCTTGCCCATTGCTAACCATTAATCACGTTGTTTCCGCGTCACGACCATTGTTTTCGGTCCGAAGCGTCACGGCGTTTAAACCGTTATAAACCAGGCACAGGGGAGCCCCAGGGACCTGAGCAACGGCTGTCAGCGGCTCCGCTTCAGGCATCAATCATCCCTGGATATGCCCGGTCGATACACCCATTAGAGCGCATGCGCCCGTTCCAGTCCGTCCCCACCTTCGATATTACACATAACACATTATTATTATTTTATTAGCTATTGCATTATACACGGTCTGGTTGACATTAAAAAGATATCCGAATTTCCCGTTCACATCATTCAAATTGTCCAACAGCCTATTAAGTGTTAACATCTCCTCTCTAATATAATAATAATAACAATATATTATATTGTTGCCCTAAAATGTCCAGTATTCCACATCGCTACCCGAATGTTAATAATAGTTATTAAAACGTTCGAATTTAACAGGCCCAGGAGTGACCACACGAGGTGTTAATTTGATATAATAACTCTCATCTGTAAACTTCCGGATTGCTTCCAAATCTAGAAAAGTCATTATACATTTTTGAGCAATATAAGTTGCGATAATTAGCATAATACATACTTATGTCATCACGCTATATCTAATGTTTAGTTTTGTTTAAGTTATACGCTTACTAGCATTAAACTTGCTTTTGTGAAAAATTAAAACTTTAATGCCTTATTGCATTAATAATGAGGTGAAATATAATATCGATTACCATTTTTTGATTAAATTTACAGATATTATCTTATGATAATGATAACATTTACGGCGTGGGTTTTAAACAAAAGAATAATACATTATAACTAATTATTTATAATAATATTATTAAAGAACAATACTAATGTAACCACGTATACTAATTTATATTTATTTTTTTTCAGGTTTTATTCAAAAATAATAATAGTCTTTTGGTAAGTACTATAAAACATACTGCAATAATTACAGTTCGCCATTCAACAACATACAATATTATTAGACAGCAAGTTTTTTTTATCGCACAACTTATTGCACAACAATATTCTTATAATATAACATTAGTATAGATCAAAATGGTGTAATTAGTTAAATACAGTTTAACGAATACACTACATTATTTATTGTATGAGTGCACAATCATAAATTTGAATAATTCAAATTTTATTTTATACAATTTTTTTTTATCATAATAAATCTAACCCCTAAGGCCTAAATTATTTCGTCATAGCGTTAGGTAGCCATAAAAACTATACCTACCCTATTTTTATAGAGCACACAGAACTGTTAACAATTATTTGATGGTCCATTATTTTGTTACCATTACTATATTCAAAAAGTCATGGTGTAAATTCAGAACAACTATAAAATGATTATTCAGTACCTATGAAATTATGTTTTGGTAAATTTATTTAAAAAAAATTCTACTTAACCCACTTGAAACACTTGTGTGAATTCTATAGACTAAATAGATACGGATAGATGTTTTTAACACCACACTAAAGAGCATTTTTACAACGTCTATTTAAACCCTACGTTAATTGATGGTCATTGGACTAACACATAACGGCGTGTAATGTAAATCCATTCTTTTTTTTTAAACTATTATTTTCTTATTATTGTTTTTTGACTGGTCGAAAATTAGACGCCGTGTAAGCTTCTGGACAGATGCCCGACACGAAACCGCCGTGTGCGGGTGTATATAAACATTTCATCGAGCTAAACTGCATAATATATTTTTAAATCCATCATCTGGCGTTCATATTTTTAGATTTCAGTGCATCGACAGCTCGGTAAGGCTACTCATCGGGTTTTATTCCTTCCTTCCTTTTTTTTTTTTTTTTTAATTCCATTGCTGTGTTTTATACGATGCCAGGCTGTGTTTTATACGATACCGCCACCGCCGTCGTACTCTCATCAATCAAGCATCGTCGACCGTGGTAAAAATCGAACCCTGACTGTTAAAAACTTGTCACGCAACTCGCCATATACCGTTTGCCCCTTCTCTCCCATTCTTCATGAATCTCGCTGGGGTTTCGGGACTTTATCTTTAATTAAAAAACACTCTGTGTACAATATAATATAGTGCGAACTACGCTTTTTGCACGCGAAAACTTTCTTATTTGTCCAATTAATATAAAAGCAATGTCGCCAGACCGGCTGAATCATTATCGGACGCTCTGTTTAGTAGTCCCTGTAGAGTTCCGTGACCCTTATTATGTACGTCAGTACGCCGAGTAGTTCTCTATACAATAAATAAATATAATGAGTCCGAATATTATATTGCCTCCTTAATCACCTTTTTTTTTTTGTCATCCCCCCGTATTTGACGGCCTGATAACCGACTTATATTTAACTTGTGGTTTTGGAGAAGATTTCCTACAAAATATTAATTATTGAAGTACTCCAATCACACATATTATAATATTTATACGAGATTAACTAGCAACTGTCATAGTAGCATGTGGGCCAGCAATCCAAACGAAGTGGCTCTTCCGTCAAATCGGTGATGTATAAAATATCAAAATATTGTTGTTTAATATCGCTACGGAACCGCCTGAAAACTGTATCTGTTCTACCTGAAAACACAAGCCGGGCAAAGGTGATAATTATGTATTACTTTTTTTACCGAGCAATTTACCGGACATTGGCAATTCTAAATAGCCACGGCTAATGTGCTCCGGACCGGCAGAACTCGGAAAGCAAGACCCTTTAACTCCAATGCGTTAAACTTCATTACGTGTTGGCATCCTGCCAAAAGTTAAGTAGATATCTCTCTCTCTCTCTCCTCCGACAAGTCTACACACACACGCAAAGTGTTATCGTCTGAAACTTTGCCGCCGTCGTCTTGTACTTCTTAGTTTATTCAATTAAATTTTCCAACCGGCACCTCGGCAGTGCGGGAAATTCGTGTGTACACGACCAAAGACGTGTTGAGGGTTGCCGATGGTAGTATAGGGTTCCCGGCTTGCAAACTGCCAAAATGTTTCCTGTTTCTATTCGCGAACCATACACTCTGCTACCGTAAACGAGATAAAATCCAAAACTCAAGACAAACTTAGTTGGTGAAATAATAATAATAATAATAATTCTATAGCGGTTAACGCAATAATTATTTCGGAGCAGAGTTTGGAGAAACGATTCAAGCACAATATAGTATTATAATAGACGTAAGGAATTCCACGATGAAAAAGAGCATTTCTAAAGGCGAAAAACAGTGAAAAATCATTTGAAACGACCCAAACAAAAAATTATGTAACACGATGATATGTAACGTATGACACATACGTTCGTTTCTCGGCGTTATATTAAAAAATTATAATATTATACCCTTGTTATTTGTTGTTTTTTATGCAACTGTCATCAAAGGTATATTTTTGGTTTATATTCAAATAGCCGTTCAATTATACATAATATTTTATCGGCACACCATATATGGCACACATCGCTCTGATGTTTTTGCATAATTTATACTATTCCATAGCAATTTGTCTCCGTAACGGTTTAGTATTATTTTTTTTTTCAGAATTTACTACACCGTCAACCTTTTGTTTGTATATCGAAATGATTGAATTAATGCATATTTTATGTGGAACACCCTATGTAGGTACCTTATTGAATATTAAAATTAGAACTCGTCGTTTGTATCGAAGGATTTTCTGATAACATATATAATTGGATATAGAAAAAAAACAGTGTTTCGATTCTCAACAAATAACATAACCAAGTATAAATTGACGTTGTTGTATGAGTCATTAATAAAAAAATACCATATAGGCTATCATAAATGAACAGACTAATATGACTATATAATCTAAATTCGTTCTTAATATTTTCTAAGCATTTTTATATGTATTTTTAGTACAGGTTAGGTCCGTTTAATGTAAGACGCTCATTTTCTCTGAAAATAATAACAATTGTATAGTTTTTCTTTTAAAAATTAGGATTGGGGGAAGAATAGATTGTAGTTTAATTTTTAACTGGATACGCATTATTCTCCATACTCTACTTTCGTTTTAAATTTGAACTTTATTAATTTTATAAGTAATTTTTCAAAACTGGCTGTCATCTAATCGATGTTTTTAGCAAGTTATTCTTAATATTAAAATTTAGTTAAATATGTACGTTATCGTATTAAGTATAAATGTTGAGTGAAATGTTGGCAAATACTAATAAAAAATTAATATTTAATATATATTTTTTTAATTTAAATATTTTTTTCAAAAATAAGCACTACAAAATGTTAATTATTTTAAGAGATTGAGTGTCTTACGTTGAGTGGATAACTTTCTAAAATAAATAAATAAATTTAGCTTAGACAAAAAATTTACGAACTATATTTTTTTTTTACAAATCTTTGCTGCTATAAAAAAACTAAAAATATTTTTTTAAATTAGACATAACACATTGTTATACACCCCTCGGTTCTGACTTAAGTGTATTAATGATAATCTTGGTAATCTTAAAGATAGAAGTTATGCGGACGAATTATGGTCAGAAAATTTAATGACGTTTCTGTAATTTCCATTCGAGCGTTATGCATTGATATTTTCTCATCAATATATTATAATGAAAATATAACAGATCCTATCGCCTTCTCTTCCTGCTCCTAATTCGCATCAATTTGTGAGTATCCAATTTTCACCAAAATCAATAGCGCTGTAGGTGTATCATCAGTAGTACTTAGGGGCATATGTGAGCTTCAGAGTAGGTATTGATCGAATATTATTATCGGATATCATATTATGCAATAATAGCGACGACGGTGCCGAATCCAAAATGCGTTGTTGGCAGTAGTACATGGGCTCGTGAAAAATCGGATACCGAAGTTATTTTATACTGCTCGTGTCGGCCATACAATGAGCAAAAGTCACGTACAGCGATTTAATTGCGTGCCGTCGGAGTGCGGCACAAGCTTTAGTAATAAATTATTTTCTTATCACGTTTTATTTTTTTATTCTCGTTGCCGAGGAAAGAAAAGCCGCACACTGTTCATTTATTTTTTTTCTGTTGTCATTATTTCTTTAGTATAGGTATTACGATTTTATTATCGCGGCCGCCGACGGTCACGCCAAACGACCACCGATGACCCGGTCCCTCAACCACCCTGTATAACGGCGTCTATGTATTCACTCGGTCGACTTGTATAGCATACAAATTGCGTTTTAATTAATCGACTAAGCTCGCTGAATACGCAACCCCGATTCGTTTTATTTTTATTTTTTCCAAACTCAATTACCTTAATGAAAATCTTCAAAGGATTCATTTCCAACAAATCTGCCTTTTGTTTTGTAAACCGTATCGGGCTTCTTTTTCCGTTGGATATTAATGATTTTAATATCCCTACACAGCGACGGTAAAAATAGAAATAACCATAATATTATGAACTCTCCGCGGATGGCGAAACGACCTGCTTAATGGACGCGCGACGGCAGACTAGCAGACTTTGTATATAGAGTAGGAGTTGGGATTGAAACGGTCTCCTTCAGATGATGACAGTGCACACGGCTGTCGTGTAATAGTTTCTTCCAGATAGGCACGGAAGTATAAAAGGGATATCGTTGTGCGCGTTTTTGTGTTAGCCGGCCGTTATATATGGTAGATCGGAATCGTGATTTCGCGTTAAGTCTTCTTCAACGTGAACTCCTTACGAATGCCGGGCAATGATGGCGTTGGCGACGATCGGAGGATGTTCCCGAAGTCTCCGGTCTCATTGATTTCCACAGAGATTCAGCGCACGATGAACTCGTTAGGTGCAAACGGTCGCCATCTGAATTTCAAATCACAGCTCGTGACAGTAACCGGCCTGGTACGCGTTGCGTTTCATTTGCCACCGCGAGTGGGTTAAAAACACACACACGCGCATACAGACTTGTACTATATTATAACAATATCGTAGCCGCTGTCGTGTCGGGTATAGGTACACATTTTAATAATG